TGGAGGGGAGGGGAAGAGAGAGAGGCGGTTGGGGGGGGGGGCCCTCATCATTGCCCCCAGCTGATGCTCGGCGCCCACGTTGCCAATCTGTTCGAGGTCACTGGACTGCGCTCGGCGCGAGAAACGTCGTCGACTCCTCGGCATGCGAGCGCGGTGGAAAAAGTCGGCAATTAAGCGCGAAATCGAGAAACCCCTTCCCTTGCCGATGACGTGTGCATCGGACGTCATCGGCCAGGATTGTACAGGGTGCTTCACAAATGTATTTAAACTCTTATATGGGACTATCGTTTTTAATGGAAAGAGAACGGATAATATAGCACTGTAACATGTTGACAAATGTATGTTAATAGCTTTACAAAGTCAAAGAGTCTCCACCATCGTTGTCAACACGTGGCCTGGATCTTCTCCACGTGGTTTCCAGAACCCGGAGGCAGCAGCACATGTCACGTGGTCTTGTTGCAAATTCTCAGAAGTGTTAGCTTTTTTTTTAAGCACCCTGCATTTTCGCTTAAATAGTTTACAACTCTCTAATCCGGACACCTGGCGATCAAGACATTTAAGTCATCCCCCCCCCCAGCCTTCAGTTCTTTGATTCGTAAAAAGGAAAGTAAAAAAAGTGGCACCATGCTGGCTAGGCAACATGAAGTTGCGCCTCATTCGCTTCGGAACTTTACAGATCTCGCGAGGCGTGTAATGCCATGGTCAAGCTGACATCCACATTAAAATAAACGCAGCAATGTTCTGTGAAGCAAAACAGCGCCGTCGTGTAAACAAGCCGGGCCGCAGTTGCGCGGAGCTGCGGCGTTGAACGATTTCTGAATAAATGGTGGCCTGTCTGTGCTGATTCTGTTTAAGGGATCTTAAGGAACGTCCGCACGCAGTACGCGCTGAGCGGACACAGCCATTGCCTCTGTATCGGTTTATGCACAGCTTTAAATTACAAAGCGTTACCGGATCGTTTTTGCTGGTTCGGCTAGTTTTGCTAGTTGACCTATCTCTTCTAGCAAGCTCAATAATACTTCGTTTAGTAATTTTGTTCGTATGCCGTGTGAAAAAAAAACAACAATAGGGCTGCAACTGTAAGTTTCACGTTGTAAGCCATTCCACGTCAGCATCCATGGTGGTAGCTGAGTGGAGTCGTCCACTTGTTCCACGAGTATGCGTGCTGTATTTGGGTAGCTGAGTGGAGTCCGCTAATTCCACCAGAGTACGCGTGTTGTATTGGGGTAGCTGAGTGGAGTCCGCTAGTTACAGCAGAGTACGCGTGCTGTATTGGGGTAGCTGAGTGGAGTGGACTTGTTCCACCAGAGTACACGTGCTGTATTGGGGTAGCTGAGTGGAGTCCGCTAGTTCCACCAGAGCACGCGTGCTGTATTGGGGTAGTCATCAGTGGCGTGCGTTTGACGGCTTGCACCTCGTCGCATTCACAATTTGGTAGAGTTCTCGATCTCTGGTTTATAGAGGAGACATCAACAACCTTTTCTTCGACGTGTTGCACGGACACGGTTGGGAGCGGACCACTTGTTTCGGTAAAAAATGTGCATGCGGTGCCATCACCCAACGTGTTTAAATAGCCTCCGTGATAAGAGCCCAAACCATTTGTTCACATTTGCTACGTTAATCTCAAATGAAAGAGTGTTTATTTCATCTTTTTTTAAACAGACGGGAGCGCCCCTCGTTTTTCTCGTGCGCTTTTTCCATCTCCGACGATCGGCCTGTTTACGCGAACGTCTTCTGCCAATGGGTGATCAGCATCGTGCACATCGCTTCGCATTAAGCCCTGTAGATTGTGTGGATGATCAATGGCTGCTTGAGAAGTGCTCACGATCATATGATTATTTTTTTACTTTTTTATTGTTTTATTTTATTTTTTTACCTACGTGACTTTACCGAATAGAACCAAAGAGTATGGATCCTTGCAGTCACGAAAGCTTCAAATCTAGAATGGATCATGTGATTGTCCATTTCCTATCGCGTATCTTTCACTTGGCAGCAGTTTACAATTGCTGGTTCGTGCCATTAGAACTATCCATTCGTCACTTTTAATTTCCCATTGACAGCGCAAACAAACGCGCGTTTTAGTTGCTATTTCAAGTCACGAGATCTTGACCATGAATGTGTGTATGCTCGTGAGAGGCTTGCCTTCTGGCTTTTGTACCACTCCTTAACCATCCTTCAGTGGTTTATAACAAAAAAGAAAGGAAACAAGAATACAACTGACCCTCTTTGACTCAGCCCAGCCACATCATTGAGCATTTGATCTCGGAGAAGTGAGGATTCGAATAATTACCACAGGCGGTTTAGTATTGTTGTGCAAACGGAGTTTGGCTTGGCAACTCGGCCATTAAAACCTCTGCGCTTTAAGAAGATGAAAAAAAATAAGAATTGCAACCAGGTGGGTCTGCGTGCGGCCACTTCAGTAAACTAAATCTAAACTATGTTTATTTTTAATTTTTACCAAGTAAAGAAAGCCCACTGAGCTATATAGCTCTTTTTCAGAAGCGACCTGGCCACAAATGATAGCTCAACGGAAGTCGCTCATCGTGTGGAAATGTATAGCAGCAACAACACTCTAAACGCATGTGGAGGGAAAGGAACCGGGGGGACCCGGAGAGAGAGACACGCAAACTCCAAATATACAGCAGGCGTAAGTCAGGGGGTGGGATCGAACGCCACGACCTCGTGTATACCAGGCGAGGTGGTTAACATCAAGTAGATCGCCGGCGACAAAGACGTGTCAAGCCTCCCACTCCCCTCTCCCGATGAAGGTGCAGATTATCCTGCCCTTGGCTGGAGCTGTCGCTAGCCCGCCATCAAAACTCGCTCGCCCAAAGCTGCGGCTGTTTCTCCAGAGGCTCGTGGAACAAATGAATCGCACGCGCGGGGTGACGCGGGCCCCTTTAAAAAATTCTGCAGTCGCGCTCACCCCCTAAATCGTAGCTCGTTACACAACTAAAATTGAGCACGAGTCGTCTCTCTCCTCGCCAGCAACTGGTGGCTATAAATAGTCGCCAATATATCTGCCGGGTTTTAGTTGTCTGCTATAGTCGTTGTGTTTTGAACTTCAACTTGGAGGGAGGGTGTGTGTCGCAAGGCTGCGCAGTGGGGCTTGCAGCCGAGCTGGTGTTGCTGTATTTTTTATTTTCGTGACGGGATACTTTAATCGGCGGGGATGTGGGGGTATAGGTTATTGGAGGCTGATATTGGACACTGTTTGCCATAGGCGTATGTACAAAATGTAAAAAATAACATGGAGAGTGGCCAATTTGTGTAATTGGAAGGTCATTATTCTTGTAAAGAAAACACACGTTTACGTGTTCTTTAGTAGGGGGGGGGGGGAGTTGGGGGGGGGGTTGTTCGTGATATCATCGTGCTTGCGTGAAGAAATGCACGTTGCTTGCCCACCTCCGATTTAGCACGGTTGGCTACGTACGGTGCGAAAGAAGTTCAACATGAGGATGGTGCTTGTTTTCTCTCAAGTGGCAGAAAACGTAAGACGCATGATGCCTCAGTATTTCGCTTTACTCACGCGTGGAGTAAACCGATGTAATTAGGATGAGAGTTGTACTTGGCAATAGCACATGGGCCGGTGGGTGAGTCATTACCGTGCGTGATGTAACGCGGGAGTGGAGGTGTTTTTTTTAAATACCGCAACTCTTCTCAGAGAGCGTTTCCGTTAACTCCCCAAAAAATGTGAACATTTCCTATTGGCCAGGAGGAAAATGACCGCGGTGATCTTTCCCTGAATTGCTTTGTCAAGTGGGACCTGTTAAGCCATGATTTTTGTTAGGGTCTCTTAAGTGCAGCATGCTTTAATGACCAAACGCAGCCCATTTAACGCGATACCTAGAATAATGGGTCCGTGTCCACCCCGTGATGTTGGTATCATTATTTCTCTAAACAGCTTTGGGACTTGAACTTTGCGGTAGCAGAGCTGCTGCCTCGACAATAATGACGTGTAAAATGTAGCTAAATGTAGCGTGCATAATAAACATCGTCATACCACGTTGTGAACGAGCACCTTAAAGGAAGGCAAGAATGATAAATAAAACATTTTAAGTGAGCTTGTCTGCCCTGTGAGTGAAACCAATCAGCCTCGAGGCCGTATTATTATTCGGGGTTGAAACATTAAGGAAATAAGCTTTGGAATGTTTGCAGTTAAAGCGATCAAGATGCAAGCTGCCTCGACGGCCTATAACAAGGACTCGGCAAAGCTGCTTCTACGGTGCTGAAAGCGCCTTGTTAAGAGGACTGCCCCTCGACGTGAGCCGTCTCGGATTCACCAACAGTGCATTGCGGCTCGTGAATGACAGCATATGTCCAGTACACACTTTCACACAGACTGACCAACAACGTAACACGTGACTCAGTGGTTCTCAACCGTGTTGATGTGATGGTCCTAGATCTTCTGATTAGTAATCCATAATACTGGCAGGAACCTCCTGGTTACACCACCAGCCCACAGGGGATTATTGTGTCCGTCCGTCTGTCGTGCATCCAAAAATGGGAGGGGTGGGGAGGGGCGGGGAGGGACTGGGTGGGGAGGGGAGGGGATGGGTGGGGATGGTGGGGAGGGGCTGGATGGGGGGTGGGGAGGGGTGGGGCTGGGTGGGGAGGGGCTGGTTACCCCGTGGTGCCCTTATAAAACTCAACGTTTAACCTACTCACGCCGGCTTGTGCCCGCCCTCAGATTTGGGCATATTTGCGGAATACACCACGTGGTGCCGCCGTTGACCCTGGCCATTGACCGAGCAACCCAACGTTCGTACCAGCTCCCTCCGCAGGAATGTGTTTAGACGGCGTCACGGTGGCGAAGTTAGACATTATCTCCCTCGCAAGTTCGCACCATCGTGGTGGCCGCATGGATTTGTTTTCTCCTTCTGGGTTCCTCCGGATTTGCCCTCCAAAATTATAAACGTACGTTGAGATCATGTGATTTTTTTATTATTATACCCACATGTGATAGAAGCCACTTCGATGAGCTGTCGTGTGTAGTCAGGTCGCCTCTGAAAAAGAGCGACAGAGCTCAGTGGGCTCCCTACACATAGGTTCGTTTTATATATAACAAACACAAAAACACCACTTTTATACCCGCCGACTCCCTCCTTGTCCCGCCTGGAGGCAGCTTTGGCGCATGATCGAACCGTCAGAGGTGAACATTAAAAACGAAGGCAGTTTGTGCGAAGTCTGTAAGCGGTGTTACTCTGCAAAGCGGCGACTGGCTGCATGCAGAACCGTTTGGTGGTCAAGCAGCGAGCATGCGTAGCTGGGAAGTCGTAGTGCAATGATTCCATAGCGATCAAAAACTGTCGTGGGAATATGGTTTAATCCTGTATTTTTTTACAATACGCTTAAATAAAAGTGACAATGATCTAACAACCAGAAGAGGGAAAACTCCCACAGGGTTCTCGTAGTGTAAAGAGTAGCATGGCTACTCCAAGAAGCTGGCAACCCAGGTTCAAATCACGGCTTATATTTTAGTTATTTTACAAATTATACGCGGACATCATCGAGCTTGTTGGTTTAAGTTTTAGAATTCGTGGGGTTCACATCTTTTCCCGAATTTTTTTTTCAAACAAACGAGAAAAAAACGTTAATTTTATTTTTTTCATATTTTAAAATATGCAACTGAAAAGGTTTGTAAAATGTCGAAGATGTAATAACCTGGACATGCGAACCAATTGGGAGCCCGTGTGGTGTAATGGTTGTTTTGACTGCCTCTGAAGCTGCTGACCCGGGTTCAAATCCCATTAAATACTTTTGCTGATATACAAAGTGTGTGATGACGTCACCGCCTGTATTTCTCCAGCCAGGTGCACGCAGTGCAATCACTACACCACGCGGAGTCCCGTGTATCTGTGTAAGCACTCGGTGGCTCACGGGGATGAGAGGCAGCCCTGGAGTCTGGAGGACTGAGGTTCGAGCCCTGGCAAAGGTGAGTGCTGAATAAACACAGTGCAAAATATGTCAATGTATCACCAACATGTGTGTATGTTCTAACCAACATGTGTGTATGTGCTAAGGTGTGTCTCTGTGTACAAAATGCAGGCGGAGCTGTGGAGAGGAGATGGAGCCCAAGGTGCAGAGACGTAAACGTGGGGGAGACGTGGACCAGCTGGGAAGGGGAAAGAAGAGAGAGAGAAGACATTTATATTTTTATGCATGAACACTAACCAGTTGTGACCACTAGGGGGCGCTGTTCTACCAGTAGGGGGCGCTGTTCTATGGCCATACCCATTAAAAGTGTAATTTCCTTGCAAATAAATACATTTGTACAGGATTTTTAGTATATTGCAGCTGTAAGCTAATATTTTTGCTAAATCGCGGTAAAATCTTCCACAATCTCAAACAATAACGTTGATAACTGAAAAAAGTAATGTACGTCCATCAGGGGGCACGTTTGATTGCTGGAAGTTTGCATGAAATTGCTGTTTTCAAGACAAAAAACGTGTTTTGTTCCTTTTTTACGACAAAATACAAACTTATACACGATCTATCTACGACAAATACCGCGAAATATAACGAAACCATCTAAATCTAGATGTTTAAAGCTTAAAAACCAACAAAACGGTAATCAGGTGCTTGAAGTATGGCCAAATTACGCCAATAATCCGCACAGACTGCAAATGGCCTTCATCCAGCAGTGGATTAACAAAAGACCTGCAGCTGTACGAGCAGCAACCAACCAGTCACGGGTTTAAACAGAGGGAAACATTACCCAACCGACCAAATCTAGGCTGCGGAAATCTTTTAACACGATTTACAATTACTGGTCACGTGGTTTTCTCAGCAAAACATGACTAGAAGCACAATCTCCCAGCAAAACATTGGTGAGCACAATTGAGCACGTGACTCGAAATGTGACATCTCAATGTTTAAAATCACATTGAGCGACCAGCAATAAGATAGCATTCTCTCCCACCTCTCCTAACCTCTCTCCTCTCACTTTACTCCCACTCCCCGTGCTCTCTCCCAACCCTCTTAGCTCCACTCACTCTCGCCGTGCCCTCCGCCCTTGCAGCCAGCGGCTTCCTCTCCCAAACCCCGAGTGAAGCTCCCCTCGATTTGAGGTCCCCTGCAGCTCATCGCCCTCGCCCGCCCGCCTTGAGAGCCCAGCGTCGCCTGGCTGTGCCGACAAAACTCCGGATGTGGTCACCCGAGTCTCACCCTCCCCGGAGTCTCTTCACTGCCCGCGCCTGCTTCCAACTTCATGGGATTCACTCCCTCCCGGGCGCAGCTCATCCGCGCTGGGGAATTCATCGCCAGAGCTCGTGGCTCTGCGTGGCACATACCCAGCAACACCTCCACTTGCTCTGCACTGAGTAACTAGATTCAGGTACCATGGCTCTTACTGAGCTGTCTCTGGACATAGAGAGCGCATTCATGTGGCTTCCAGACTACAAGGGGTGAAATAAAATCTTCCCGAATCAACATGAAAACCCAGTGCAGAGCTTCACGCCTCCTCCCCTCCTCTCCCATGCATTCTCATCCCGGCATCGAAGCGTCACTTAGCACGGAGCCATCACCAAAACCAGGGGCAACTTACGCTTCGGAAGGCTCCATGTGCAGGGTTTCAATGGCTCCACGTGCAGGGTCTCCGCGCGCCAGGTGCAGTGTCTCTGCGTGCTATACGCAGGGAGCTGCCTGGCCCTGGCTGTGGCTCTTCATTGAATGCAATGCCTCCCCGCACCGCGTGTATTTAAATCTCCCATCTCCGTGGCTTCACCTCGCAGTTGACTGCTCTCCACTTCACCTGCTCACGTCACCTTCACCTGCAGACGTCCGAGATGCACCACATCCTGGTGTCCAATCGGGTGTGTTGACACTCTGCGGTCTCGGAAACTTCCCATCTTCTCCGTAACCTCTCACCCTAGTCTGGATTTGAACCGAGACCCCAGTGCTTTGAGGCGGGTCCGTCCCGGTTGCTGATGTCGGAAACTGTGTTGAGAGAGCTCACCTGGCCAGTCCTGCGGGTTCCCTGCCTGTGCATGGCAGGGCCACGTGTGTGTGTGTATACGCGTGAATGATAAATCCACCCAGATGTGTGTGTGTGTGTGTACACAAATAAAGACGACCCACCCCCCTTATAGCTCAGATAACCGTTTAGCGCACGTGCTTTTAGTTCTCACGTATGAAAAACGGTACGGTACATGAGGGGGTGGGTGACCAGCAACACGAGAGGGCGTCACGGTGGCGAAGTTAGACATTATCTCCCTCGCCTGGGACGCATGAGGCTTGCAAGTTCGCACCATCGTGGTGGCCGCATGGATTTGTTTTCGCCTTCTGGGTTCCTCCGGTTTTGCCCTCCAAAATTAGAAACGTGCGTTGAGATCATGTGATTTTTTTATTATTATACCCACATGTGATAGAAGCCACTTCGATGAGCTGTCGTGTGTGGTCAGGTCGCCTCTGAAAAAGAGCGACAGAGCTCAGTGGGCTCCCTACACATAGGTTCGTTTTATATATAACAAACACAAAAACACCACTTTTATACCCGCCGACTCCCTCCTTGTCCCGCCTGGAGGCAGCTTTGGCGCATGATCGAACCGTCAGAGGTGGACATTAAAAACGAAGTCAGTTTGTGCGAAGTCTGTAAGCGGTGTTACTCTGCAAAGCGGCGACTGGCTGCATGCAGAACCGTTTGGTGGTCAAGCAGCGAGCATGCGTAGCTGGGAAGTCGTAGTGCAATGATTCCATAGCGATCAAAAACTGTCGTGGGAATATGGTTTAATCCTATATTTTTTTACAATACGCTTAAATAAAAGTGACAATGATCTAACAACCAGAAGAGGGAAAACTCCCACAGGGTTCTCGTAGTGTAAAGGGTAGCATGGCTATCCCTAGAAGCTGGCAACCCAGGTTCAAATCACGGCTTATATTTTAGTTATTTTACATAATATACGAGGACATCATCGAGCTTGTTGGTTTAAGTTTTAGAATTCGTGGGGGTTCACATCTTTTCACGAATTTTTTTTTATTCAAACAAACGAGAAAAAAACGTCAATTTTATTTTTTTCATATTTTTAAATATGCAACTGAAAAGGTTTGTAAAATGTCGAAGATGTAATAACCTGGACATGAGAAACAATTGTGAGCCCGTGTGGTGTAAGGGATGTTTTGACTGCTTCTGAAGCTGCTGACCCGGGTTCAAATCCCACTTTACACTTTTGCTGATATACAAAGTGTGTGATGACGTCACCGCCTGTATTTCTCCAGCCAGGTGCACGCAGTGCAATCACTACACCACGCGGTGTCCCGTGTATCTGTGTAAGCACTCGGTGGCTCACGGGGATGAGAGGCAGCCCTGGAGTCTGGGAGGACTGAGGTTCGAGCCCTGGTCAAAGGTGAGTGCTGAATAAACACGCAGTGCAAAGTATGTCAATGTTCTAGCCAACATGTGTGTATGTTCTAACCAACGTATGTGTATGTGCTAACGTGTGTCTCTGTGTACAAAATGCAGGCGGAGCTGTGGAGAGGAGATGGAGCCCAAGGTGCAGAGACGGAGACGTGGACCAGCTGGGAAGGGGAAAGAAGAGAGAGAAGACATTTATATTTTTTTGCATTAACACAAACCAGTTGTGACCACTAGGGGGCGCTGTTCTACCAGTAGGGGGCGCTGGTCTACCAGTAGGGGGCGTTGTTCTATGGCCATACCCATTAAAAGTGTAATTTCCTTGCAAATAAATACATTTGTACAGGATTTTTAGTATATTGCAGCTGTAAGCTAATATTTTTGCTAAATCGCGGTAAAATCTTCCACAATCTCAAACAATAACGTTGATAACTGAAAAAAGAGTAATTTACGTCCATCAGGGGGCACGTTTGATTGCTGGAAGTTTGCATGAAATTTCTGTTTTCAAGACAAACAACGTGTTTTGTTTCTTTTTTTACGACAAAATACAAACTTATACACGATCTATCTACGACAAATACCGCGAAATATAACGAAACTATCTAAATCTAGATGTTTAAAGCTTAAAAACCAACAAAACGGTAATCAGGTGCTTGATGTATGGCCAAGTTACGCCAATAATCCGCACAGACTGCAAATGGCCTTCATCCAGCAGTGGATTAACAAAAGACCTGCAGCTGTACAAGCAGCAACCAACCAGTCACGGGTTTAAACAGAGGGAAACATTACCCAACCGACCAAATCTAGCCTGCGGAAATCTTTTAACACGATTTACAATTACTGGTCACGTGGTTTTCTCAGCAAAATATGACTAGAAGCACAATCTCCCAGCAAAACATTGGTGAGCACAATTGAGCACGTGACTCGAAATGTGACATCTCAATGTTTAAAATCACAATTGAACACGTGACTCGAAATGTGACATCTCAATGTTTAAAATCACATTGAGCGACCAGCAATAAGATAGCATTCTCTCCCACCTCTCCTAACCTTTCTCCTCTCACTTTACTCCCACTCCCCGTGCTCTCTCCCAACCCTCTTACCTCCACTCCCCCTCGCCGTGCCCTCCGCCCTTGCAGCCAGCGGCTTCCTCTCCCAAACCCCGAGTGAAGCTCCCCTCGATTTGAGGTCCCCTGCATCTCATCGAACCTCGCCCGCCCGCCCGCCTTGAGAGCCCGGCGTCGCCTGTCTGTGGCGACAAAACTCCGGATGTGGTCACCCGAGTCTCACCCTTCCCGGAGTCTCTTCACTGCCCGCGCCTGCTTCCAACTTCATGGGATTCACTCCCTCCCGGGCGCAGCTCATCCGCGCTGGGGAATTCATCGCCAGAGCTCGGTGGGTCTGCGTGGCTGGAAAGGGGGACCTTAAAGACCCTGCGACATCGTCACTGATACATCCAGGCAGAATCCGAGCTTGGATATTCCTTGAATGGGCGACCACCAGGCGTTATAGGCTGCTTGGCTTTGATGGGCAGAAGATCCATTGCGCTCTAAGCTTGTCTCCGTGCGTCTTCACCAACCGGCACTGGTCAGCTTTGGTGAAGTATGGTTTAAGAAACGATCATTAAGGGGAGAACCTCATCCAGAAGTGGACTGAAACAAAAGGGTGATTATGTACGTATTATGATGAAAGACAGATTCCTGTGTTTAACGTTGAAAGTATATAGAATTCCCTCTATACGTAAACACATTACCAGTAATACCTCCACTTGCTCTGTACTGAGTAACTAGATTCAGGTACCATGGCTCTTACTGAGCTGTCTCTGGACATAGAGAGGCTTCAAGACTACAAGGGGTGAAATAAAATCTTCCCGAATCAACATGAAAACCCAGTGCAGAGCTTCACGCATCCTCCCCTCCTCTCCCATTCATTTTCATCCCGGCATCGAAGCGTCACTTAGCACGGAGCCATCACCAAAACCAGGGGCAACTTACGCTTCAGAAGGCTCCACGTGCAGGGTCTCCTGGCTCCACGTGCAGGGTCTCCTGGCTCCACGTGCAGGGTCTCCGGGCTCCAGGTGCAGGGTCTCCGGGCTCCATGTGCAGGGTCTCCGGGCTCCAGGTGCAGGGTCTCTGCGTGCTATACGCAGGGAGCTGCCTGGCCCTGGCTGTGGCTCTTCATTGAATGCAATGCCTCCCCGCACCGCGTGTATTTAAATCTCCCATCTCCGTGGCTTCACCTCGCAGTTGACTGCTCTCCACTTCACCTGCTCACGTCACCTTCACCTGCAGACGTCCGAGATGCACCACATGCTGGAGTCTAAACGGATGTGTTGACACTCTGCGGTCTGGGAAACTTCCCATCTTCTCCGTAACCTCTCACCCTAGTCTGGATTTGAACCGAGACCCCAGTGCTTTGAGGCGGGTCCGTCCCGGTTGGTGAGGTCGGAAACTGTGTTGAGAGAGCTCACCTGGCCAGTCCTGCGGGTTTCCTGCCTGTGCATGGCAGGGCCACGTGTGTGTGTGTGTACGCGTGAATGATAAATCCACCCAGATGTGTGTGTGTGTGTACACAGATTTAAGAGGACCCACCCCCCTTATAGCTCAAATAACCGTTTAGCGCACGTGCTTTTAGTTCTCACGTATGAAAAACGGCACGGTACATGAGGGGGTGGGTGACCAGCAACACGAGAGGGCGTCACGGTGGCGAAGTTAGACATTATCTCCCTCGCCTGGGACGCATGAGGCTTGCAAGTTCGCACCATCGTTTTCTCCTTCTGGGTTCCTCCGGTTTTGCCCTCCAAAATTAGAAACGTGCGTTGAGATCATGTGATCTTTTTTCATTATACCCACATGTGATAGAAGCCACTTCGATGAGCTGTCGTGTGTGGTCAGGTCGCCTCTGAAAAAGAGCGACAGAGCTCAGTGGGCTCCCTACACATAGGTTCGTTTCATATATAACAAACACAACAACACCACTTTTATACCCGCCGACTCCCTCCTTGTCCCGCCTGGAGGCAGCTTTGGCGCATGATCGAACCGTCAGAGGTGAACATTAAAAACGAAGGTAGTTTGTGCGAAGTCTGTAAGCGGTGTTACTCTGTAAAGCGGCGACTGGCTGCATGCAGAACCGTTTGGTGGTCAAGCAGCGAGCATGCGTAGCTGGGAAGTCGTAGTGCAATGATTCCATAGCGATCAAAAACTGTCGTGGGAATATGGTTTAATCCTATATTTTTTTACAATACGCTTAAATAAAAGTGACAATGATCTAACAACCAGAAGAGGGAAAACTCCCACAGGGTTCTCGTAGTGTAAAGGGTAGCATGGCTATCCCTAGAAGCTGGCAACCCAGGTTCAAATCACGGCTTATATTTTAGTTATTTTACAAAATATACGAGGACATCATCGAGCTTGTTGGTTTAAGTTTTAGAATTCGTGGGGTTCACATCTTTTCACGAATTTTTTTTTATTCCAACAAACGAGAAAAAAACGTTAATTTTATTTTTTTCATATTTTTAAATATGCAACTGAAAAGGTTTGTAAAATGTCGAAGATGTAATAACCTGGACATGAGAACCAATTGTGAGCCCGTGTGGTGTAAGGGATGTTTTGACTGCCTCTGAAGCTGCTGACCCGGGTTCAAATCCCACTTTACACTTTTGCTGATATACAAAGTGTGTGATGACGTCACCGCCTGTATTTCTCCAGCCAGGTGCACGCAGTGCAATCACTACACCACGCGGTGTCCCGTGTATCTGTGTAAGCACTCGGTGGCTCACGGGGATGAGAGGCAGCCCTGGAGTCTGGAGGCCTGAGGTTCGAGCCCTGGCAAAGGTGAGTGCTGAACAAACATGCAGTGCGAAGTATGTCAATGTTCTAGCCAACATGTGTGTATGTTCTAACCAACGTATGTGTATGTGTATGTGCTAACGTGTGTCTCTGTGTATAAAATGCAGGCGGAGCTGTGGAGAGGAGATGGAGCCCAAGGTGCAGAGACGGAGACGTGGACCGGAAGGGAAGAAGAGAGAGAAGACATTTATATTTTTTGCATTAACACAAACCAGTTGTGACCACTAGGGGGCGCTGTTCTACCAGTAGGGGGCGTTGTTCTATGGCCATACCCATTAAAAGTGTCATTTCCTTGCAAATAAATACATTTGTACAGGATTTTTAGTATATTGCAGCTGTAAGCTAATATTTTTGCTAAATCGCGGTAAAATCTTCCACAATCTCAAACAATAACGTTGATAACTGAAAAAAGAGTAATTTACGTCCATCAGGGGGCACGTTTGATTGCTGGAAGTTTGCATGAAATTTCTGTTTTCAAGACAAACAACGTGTTTTGTTTCTTTTTTTACGACAAAATACAAACTTATACACGATCTATCTACGACAAATACCGCGAAATATAACGAAACCATCTAAATCTAGATGTTTAAAGCTTAAAAACCAACAAAACGGTAATCAGGTGCTTGATGTATGGCCAAGTTACGCCAATAATCCGCACAGACTGCAAATGGCCTTCATCCAGCAGTGGATTAACAAAAGACCTGCAGCTGTACGAGCAGCAACCAACCAGTCACGGGTTTAAACAGAGGGAAACATTACCCAACCGACCAAATCTAGGCTGCGGAAATCTTTTAACACGATTTACAATTACTGGTCACGTGGTTTTCTCAGCAAAATATGACTAGAAGCACAATCTCCCAGCAAAACATTGGTGAGCACAATTGAACACGTGACTAGAAATGTGACATCTCAATGTTTAAAATCACAATTGAACACGTGACTCGAAATGTGACATCTCAATGTTTAAAATCACATTGAGCGACCAGCAATAAGATAGCATTCTCTCCCACCTCTCCTAACTTCTCTCCTCTCACTTTACTCCGACTCCCCGTGCTCTCTCCCAACCCTCTTAGCTCCACTCCCCCTCGCCGTGCCCTAAGACCTTGCAGCCAGCGGCTTCCTCTCCCAAACCCCGAGTGAAGCTCCTCTCGATTTGAGGTCCCCTGCATCTCATCGAACCTCGCCCGCCCGCCCGCCCGCCTTGAGAGCCCAGCATCGCCTGGCTGTGGCGACAAAACTCCGGATGTGGTCACCCGAGTCTCACCCTCCCCGGAGTCTCTTCACTGCCCGCGCCTGCTTCCAACTTCATGGGATTCACTCCCTCCCGGGCGCAGCTCATCCGCGCTGGGGAATTCATCGCCAGAGCTCGTGGGTCTGCGTGGCTGCCAAGGGGGACCTTAAAGACCCTGCGACATCGTCACTGATACATCCAGGCAGAATCCGAGCTTGGATATTCCTTGAATGGGCGACCACCAGGCGTTATAGGCTGCTTGGCTTTGATGGGCAGAAGATCCATTGCGCTCTAAGCTTGTCTCCGTGCGTCTTCACCAACAGGCACTGGTCAGCTTTGGTGAAGTATGGTTTAAAAAACGCTCATTAAGGGGAGAACCTCATCCAGAAATGGACTGACACAAAAGGGTGATTATGTACTTATTATGATGAAAGACAGATTCCTGTGTTTAACGTTGACAGTCTATAGAATTCCCTCTATACGTAAACACATACCCAGCAACACCTCCACTTGCTCTGCACTGAGTAACTAGATTCAGGTACCATGGCTCTTACTGTGCTGTCTCTGGACATAGAGAGCGCATTCATGTGGCTTCCAGACTACAAGGGGTGAAATTAAATCTTACCGAATCAACATGAAAACCCAGTGCAGAGCTTCACGCCTCCTCCTCTCCCATTCATTCTCATCCCGGCATCGAAGCGTCACTTAGCACGGAGCCATCACCAAAACCAGGGGCAACTTACGCTTCGGAAGGCTCCATGTGCAGGGTTTCAATGGCTCCAGGTGTAGGGTCTCCTGGCTCCAAGTGCAGGGTCTCCGCGCTCCACGTGCAGGGTCTCCGCGCTCCACGTGCAGGGTCTCCGGGCTCCAGGTGCAGGGTCTCCGGGCTCCAGGTGCAGTGTCTCTGCGTGCTATACGCAGGGAGCTGCCTGGCCCTGGCTGTGGCTCTTCATTGAATGCAATGCCTCCCCGCACCGCGTGTATTTAAATCTCCCATCTCCGTGGCTTCACCTCGCAGTTGACTGCACTCCACTTCACCTGCTCACGTCACCTTCACCTGCAGACGTCCGAGATGCACCACATCCTGGAGTCTAAACGGGTGTGTTGACACTCTGCGGTCTGGGAAACTTCCCATCTTCTCCGTAACCTCTCACCCTAGTCTGGATTTGAACCGAGACCCCAGTGCTTTGAGGCGGGTCCGTCCCGGTTGCTGATGTCGGAAACTGTGTTGAGAGAGCTCACCTGGCCAGTCCTGCGGGTTCCCTGCCTGTGCATGGCAGGGCCACGTGTGTGTGTGTACGCGTGAATGATAAATCCACCCAGATGTGTGTGTGTGTACACAAATAAAGACGACCCATCCCCCTTATAGCTCAGATAACCGTTTAGCGCACGTGCTTTTAGTTATCACGTATGAAAAACGGCACGGTACATGAGGGGGTGGGTGACCAGCAACACGCCCGACCGCCTTTGTCTCCCGAGTGACGATATTTACACAGCCCACCGGGTACTCAATTGAGGCTGAGTCAACCTCAGAGAGGCCCAGGACCGGTTCGGATAACATGTCACCGATGTTGGTGGCCGTGAGCGGGAATCGAACACATAAGCAGATGCGACTCAATTGCGGTTTTCCTGAGTCAATATCTCAATGTAAAAAAAAAGTTTTGAAACGTCGGGGTGAAGTCCATCACGCCTACTCGGGTGATCCTCGCAGCTGCGTTTGGCTCAGCCATCGAACAAAGACGGCCACGGCTTCGCACGCCTTTCAAATGGGCTTCTGCGTCCGTCTGGAACGCCCTTGCTTCCGATATTCGGAAGCCGACTAGAGCTATGCGCTTTGAAATCGAAATTGGAAACTCACTTCTTTGGAACCACTTTTTACGTTCAGTTTGTATTCCTTCCCCCGCGCATCCGATTGGCACGGTCGGCTACGCACATAAAACATGTGAGGGGACAGCGGTGGAGCAGGTGGCATGCCATTTGCGATCCCCCAGTGCAGCACCTTTCACCGATAAGACTTCAGTGTGTGAATGCCGCCACACATTTGAAACCATCGGGGGGGGGGGGAGGGGGGGGTTTGACAGCAGCACGATGATGATGATGATGGGGGGTGGTGTTGTCACGTGTTGTTGTTGTTGTGTATTGTCGGGTCGCACGTCAGGGGCCGCACTAAAGGCCACAAGGGGCAGCCAGTGGCTCTAACATTGAAGAAGACTGCTCTAACAATGAAGAAGACTGCTCTAACAATGAAGAAGACTGCTCTAACAATGAAGAAGACTGCTCTAACAATGAAGAAGACTGCTCTAACAAAATAAAGAAGACTGCTCTAACAATGAAGAAGACTGCTCTAACAATGAAGAAGACTGCTCTAACAATGAAGAAGACTGCTCTAGCAATGAAGAAGACTGCTCTAACAATGAAGAAGACTGCTCTAACAATGAAGAAGACTGCTCTAACAATGAAGAAGACTGCTCTAACAATGAAGAAGACTGCTCTAACAATGAAGAAGACTGCTCTAACAATGAAGAAGACTTCTCTAACAATGAAGAAGACTGCTCTAACAATGAAGAAGACCTCTCTAACAATGAAGAAGACTGCTCTAACAATGAAGAAGACTGCTCTAACAATGAAGAAGACTGCTCTAACAATGAAGAAGACTGCTCTAACAATGAAGGAGACTGCTCTAACAATGAAGAAGACTGCTCTAACAATGAAGAAGACTGCTCTAACAATGAAGAAGACTGCTCTAACAATGAAGGAGACTGCTCTAACAATGAAGAAGATTGCTCTAACAATGAAGAAGACTGCTCTAACAATGAAGAAGACTGCTCTAACAATGAAGAATACTGCTCTAACAATGACGAAGACTGCTCTAACAAAATAAAGAAGACTGCTCTAACAATGAAGAAGACTGCTCTAACAATGAAGAAGACTGCTCTAACAATGACGAAGACTGCTCTAACAATTAAGAAGACTGCTCTAACAATGAAGAAGACTGCTCTAACAATGAAGAAGACTGCTCTAACAATGAAGAAGACTGCTCTAACATTGAAGAACACTGCTCTAACAATGAAGAAGACTGCTCTAACAATGAAGAAGGCTGCTCTAACATTGAAGAAGACTGCTCTAACAATGACGAAGACTGCTCTAACAATGAAGAAGACTGCTCTAACAATGAAGAAGACTGCTCTAACAATGAAGAAGGCTGCTCTAACATTGAAGAAGACTGCTCTAACAATGACGAAGACTGCTCTAACAATGAAGAAGACTGCTCTAACAATGAAGAAGACTGCTCTAACAATGAAGAAGACTGCTCTAACAATGAAGAAGACTGCTCTAACAATGAAGAAGACTGCTCTAACAATGAAGAAGACTGCTCTAACAATGAAGAAGACTGCTCTAACAATGAAGAAGACTGCTCTAACAATGAAGAAGACTGCTCTAACAATGAAGGAGACTGCTCTAACAATGAAGAAGGCTGCTCTAACAATGAAGAAGACTGCTCTAACAATGAAGAAGACTGCTCTAGCAATGAAGAAGACTGCTCTAACATTGAAGAAGACTGCTCTAACAATGAAGAACACTGCTCTAACAATGAAGAAGACTGCTCTAACAATGAAGAAGACTGCTCTAACAATGAAGAAGACTGCTCTAACAATGAAGAAGACTGCTCTAACAATGAAGAAGACTGCTCTAACAATGACGAAGACTGCTCTAACAATGAAGAGCACTGCTCTAACAATGAAGAAGACTGCTCTAACAATGAAGAAGACTGCTCTAACAATGAAGAAGACTGCTCTAACAATGAAGAAGACTGCTCTAACAATGAAGAAGACTGCTCTAACAATGAAGAAGACTGCTCTAACAATGAAGAAGACTGCTCTAACAATGAAGAAGACTGCTCTAACAATGAAGAAGACTGCTCTAACAATGACGAAGACTGCTCTAACAATGAAGAAGACTGCTCTAACAATGAAGAAGACTGCTCTAACAATGAAGAAGACTGCTCTAACAATGAAGAAGACTGCTCTAACAATGAAGAAGACTGCTCTAACAATGACGAAGACTGCTCTAACAATGAAGAAGATTGCTCTAACAATGAAGAAGACTGCTCTAACAATGAAGAAGACTGCTCTAACAATGAAGAATACTGCTCTAACAATGACGAAGACTGCTCTAACAATGAAGAAGACTGCTCTAACAATGAAGAAGACTGCTCTAACAATGAAGAAGACTGCTCTAACAATGACGAAGAC